AGAGTGGCCATATAGAGTGAAAGGAATGTAACCCTCTTTGATTTTATATATTTCGGCTCAGGTTGGACACACTTACATAAATGTGATTGACATTGAAGCTGATGATCTACAGGAATTACCTGCCCGAGAAAAGCCTTCAATTGATAACATTACTGAACAGCGAAGTCATCATCTGGAAGGTCCATCATCTGCAGAGCTTCATTATATGGCAGCTTCAGTTACTAATTCTATCCCCTCACACAATTTTAGGAGTCAAGGTAATAATTTGTCTTACTTTTTAAATAAATATATTTTGAAATATTCTTTAGTACATAGCATTTTAAAATTTAATTTAATTATATTATTATTATTATTTTGGAGAGGCTTTTGCTATAGGGCGCGTGTGCTTGCAAAAAAAGACAGAGAGAGACAGAGAAAGTGAGAAATCACACCCTGGGGGGATGGCCACACTGTAATCCCTTTTCCTCCATTCTCCTCTCGGGATCTTGGACATTCACACACACGTGCCCGGCATGAGTTTAAGTCACCAGGTCTGGAACTCAAACCACAGTAGACTACATGGGAGTCCAGTGGCATAGCCGTTACACCAGTTGCTGATCCCAATTTTATTTTATTTTTTAAGGGTTTTTGCCGTAGGACATGTGCACTTGCCAGGGAGAGAGACAGTGTTAAACAGTAAGAGGGAAAGTGAGAAATCACCTTCCCCCAACACACACCCTGGGGGAGATGGCCACACTGCCATCTCTTCTCTTTCATTCTCTTCCTGGGATTTGGGCATGCATGCACCTGGCATGATTTTCAAGCCACCAGGTCTGGGACTGGAAATGCAGTCAACCATGTTGGAGTCCAGCACCTTAATCACCATGCCACCTGCTGACTCCAGTGTATAGCATTGCTATTGTTAATCAAGTCTCTTATCTTTTCTTCTACAAACTCACTGTACTTTTTGGTGTTTATATTCACTTTTAGAAACATAAATATAAACTCCTAATTACCTTCTTTAGAAATTCAGACTCACTCTTTGTTTGCCTTTTACATTCTTGATAGACTCTGACAATTCTGCTATGAATTTATTTTCTAAACCAGCAAAAGTGACTGCATCCTGTCTGGAGGGAAAAAGCTGGAGAGCAGGTAGCATGGAATTAAAGGAGCCTAGTATCACTTCACCTGTACCATCAGATATTCAACAGGACAGAGGTAAATGGACAAAACCCTCCCCTCTTCTGTTTCATTTTTGGTTTTGTTTTGAGAGGTCTTTGCTATAGGGCACGTGTGCTCACCAGAAAGACAGAGAGAGACAGAGAGACAGAAAGAGAGAAATCACTCCCTGGCGGGGGGGATGGTCATTCTGCAATCCTTTCTTGTCCATCCTCCTCTCAGGATCTTGGGCATGCACATACACATGCCTGGTGTGAATTTAAGCCCCCAGATCTGGGACTTGAACCACAGTCGACTACGTGGGAGTCCAGTGATGTAACCATTACACCATCTGCTGACCCTGACTCTCCTCTCTTCTGAAATTACTGCTGTGTTATAAACAATTACTGGTGCCAGGACCAGCAGTTGGCGTAATGGCTATGTTGCTGGACTCCCATGTTGTCTACCACGGTTCGAGTCCCGGGCCTGGTGGCTTAAAACTCACACTGGGTGCATGTGCGTGCGTGCCCAAGATCCTAAGAGGAGAATGGAGGAGAAGGGATTGCAGTATGGCCATCCCCCATGGGGGGTGATTTATCACTTTCTGTCTCTCTGTCTCTCTCTGTCTGTCTGGCAAGCACACGCACCCTATAGCAAAAACCTCTCAAAAAAAAAAAAATTACTGGGGCCAGCAGGTGGCCTGGTGGTTAAGGCGCTGGACTCCCACATGGCCAACCACAGTTTGAGTCCTCAGATTTGGCAGCTTTAAATTCACCCTTTGGGGTGTTTGCTCACTTTCCCTCTCATTGCCTCCGTCTGCCTCTCTGGCAAGCACACATGCTACCCTCTGACAAAAACCTTGGAAAAAGAAAATGAAGAAAGAAGTACTAAAACTTGTTCATTCCAAGAAAAGAAGAGAAAGGCTTGTCTTTGCTAAGGAGAGCGGGAACAGGAAGGCAAATGAGGTCGAGCCATAGTTCCAAAACTGAGATTCTTGGATGTCTTGCTTGTAGACTACAAGTCTGTTTATACAAATATCTTTTCTCAATTAAGGACAAAAATAAATATCCTGTGGGAGCTCATGAATGTGTTAAAAAGAATTCTCATATTTAAAATAGTAGGAGGTTCTAGAACAGCCCACAGAAAAATACATTGGCATGTAGCCAAGAGTACTTTCCTTATAAAACATTTAGTTTTATAGTCATAAATGAGGTTATATGATAATAAAGTTCTGCAAGATCTAAAGGGATATTTCTCCACAGCGTAATTATTTCACCTTGTGAATGGTTAGATTCATCCACTATGCATCTGGGCTCCGCTCCTGAATGTCTCCTCTGAGTTCCACAGCTGTTGAGTATGGACCCATCCTTGTGGTTCTGAGATGCCTGAGTATAAAGTCTGCTCTGCCTGGTCATGGTGGAGTGATAATGGGCACTCAGGAGCCAGGAGGAGCCAGGAAGTGATGGGTGGCAAGGAAACGTCACCTTAGGGTATAAGGGCATATGTGTTATACCTGCGTGTACAATCAAGGGCCACCATTTCAGGGCTTGGGGCCTTTGCCCTCTTTCTCTTGTTATGGGACTGTTAGAGCACATGGGCAGTGGAGGGAGGATCTATAAAACCAGCAGTCTTTCAGGCTGGGGAAAGGTATGTAGCGAAAGAGCTTAGCTTTTTGCTTCAAATAAAACAGGTCTTGGTTTCAATCCCAGCTCTGTCACTTAATAGGTTGGAGGTTTTTTCACACTTTGTCTCATCCTCACTTTTATCTCTGTGGGGCTCAGCCTTTTAGGTTATTATGAAGCACATCTAACCAAGTCGCCTGTGGCTCCTGAGGTGCAATGTTAGTTTCCCTTCATTTCATAGCAATCAACTTTTGAAATTTTGGCAAATTGAAAGCAGACCCTGGAGTTGACAGATGGCATGATGGTCAAGACACTGGACTCCCACATGGTCAACTATGGTTTGAGTCCTGGACCTAGAGGCTTACTTTCTCACTTTCCCGCTCTCTCTATTCCTCTCTGGTGAATTAAAATAATAATAATAATAAAATTAAAAAGAAAAAGTATATTCATCGCTCTGTGACCCCTGAGTATCCTAGGCCAGCTTTTCAAATAACCGTAAGCTATGAGTTTATAATTCATCTTTTAGAGGATACTTCTTTGGGGAGACTTTCTGGTAACAATGATATGTCAGTATATCCCTCTACATTTTTAAAAAATTAATTAATTTGTTTATTATTAGTATTATTTTAATTTGTTATAGAGCACATGCGCTCACCAGAGAGAAAGAGAAAATGAGAAAGCAAGCCAGCAGGTCCAGGACTCAGACCACAGTTGAGCATGTGGGCGTCTAGCACCTTTAACCACCATGCTACCTTTGGCTCCCCTCTACTTTTATTAAAGAAGTTAACTTAAAAACGCTAATTTTATTTTATATTTTCGTTCGTCAGAGAGTGTGTGCTGGCCAGAGACAGAGAGAGAGAGAGAGAGGGAGAGGGAGAAATCACCCCCAGTGGGGCGTGGCCATGCCTTAATCCCTTCTCCTTCATTTTTCCAGTCTGTTGGGATTTTGGATACACATATGCATGCAGCATGTTTTTCAAACCATGGGTACCAGGATTGGAACCACGTGGTCAGCCATGTGGAATCTGGTGATATGTCAGTATATCCCTCTACATTTTTAAAAAATTAATTAATTTGTTTATTATTAGTATTATTTTAATTTGTTATAGAGCACATGCGCTCACCAGAGAGAAAGAGAAAATGAGAAAGCAAGCCAGCAGGTCCAGGACTCAGACCACAGTTGAGCATGTGGGCGTCTAGCACCTTTAACCACCATGCTACCTTTGGCTCCCCTCTACTTTTATTAAAGAAGTTAACTTAAAAACGCTAATTTTATTTTATATTTTCGTTCGTCAGAGAGTGTGTGCTGGCCAGAGACAGAGAGAGAGAGAGAGAGGGAGAGGGAGAAATCACCCCCAGTGGGGCGTGGCCATGCCTTAATCCCTTCTCCTTCATTTTTCCAGTCTGTTGGGATTTTGGATACACATATGCATGCAGCATGTTTTTCAAACCATGGGTACCAGGATTGGAACCACGTGGTCAGCCATGTGGAATCTGGCTTCCTTAACCACCAGGCCATGGGACTGGCCTAAAAATGCCAATTTTAAAGGAAAAGTTCTATGTTTTGAAACAAAGTTTGTGGAAAAAAGTGTGATATTTGCATAATATACTTTAAAGACTTGAAATATAGTCAGTCACATATTAAGAGTTGAGTATGATTTGCATAACAGGAAAAGCAGGGAGAAGAAAGGGGCACGGTCCCTAAGATATTTAAAACAAAAATGAAACAATCAATAAATTCCTGTTTTAGTGAGACCTGCTCACTGTTTTGAAAGACAGTTGCTTCTTACTTTAAAAACCATCTCCCATTAGGAACAGCATCTGTTATAACAAGCAGAGTTTTGCTGGGCCTAGAACAGACATTGAAGCGTCAGTAGAACTTAGTGCTTACCCTTCTTGGGTGATTTTCTTTACTTATTAGTAGAAGTGAAGTAGGTTCTCCACAGACAGGGAAGCTAGTTTTATTATATACTGAGGTAATTCTGGATTTTGAGCACGTCTGTTTCTTTTGCTGTACTTTGTACTTGGAAGTTTGTATATACCAAATTCTTTCCTGAGAGTGATTAGAAGAGATGTCTGAGGCTGCTGGGAAACCCAAAAGACAGACTGACAGTAGAGTACTGTGACAGGCAAGCTAAAAATGAACAAGGCCACGGTCGGTAGGGGAAGATGGTGTGACCACCATTGCCAACGTCAGCATCCATCATTGCCTCCTGATGGGAAGTTGTTTTGTTACAACTCAGAGGTTTGGTGGCACCTGCTGAGTCTGAGAGCCTTAGGGTTCAGTATGCTTGGAGATAAATGGAGTGTTTTGCTTCTTTGTTTAAAGAAATAGCAAGAGGTGAAGCTGAAGAGGCAGGCAGAGGAATGGTCATGTGTGTCACTGCCCTACTGAAATGTTTAAGCTTTTAAGGTGAAGGCATTGTATATACATCGAAGGGCTCTCTGCAGAAGAACAGTATCAAATTTACGCTTTCATTTTTGTTACGAGAGAGAGAGAGTACACGCAGGAGGAAGGGGGAAAGAAAGAGGAAGACATAGGTATTTTTTTTTTTTTTGAAGAGGTTTTTGCTATAGGGCGCATGCGCTCGCCAGACAGACAGAGAGAGACAGAGAGATAGAAAGCAGGAAATCACCCCCCAGGGGGGATGGCCACGCCGCAATCCCTTCTCCTCCATTCTCCTCTCGGGATCTTGGGCACGCACGCACACGCGCCCGGCGTGAGTTTAAGCCACCGGGTCCGGGACTCGAACTGCGGTCGACTACGTGGGAGTCCAGCGACATAGCCATTACGCTAACTGCTGGTCCCGACATAGGTATTTTTGACAAGGTTGTGCCATATCACAATCCTCCTGCTTCAGCCTCCCAACCAACCAGAGCCTCAGGTGCTGGCCTCCATGCACAGCCTGAATAGATGGGGCCCAGAACCAAACCAGAGTTCACATGTGGTATTAGCCACTGCACAACAGTGCCCTCTCACTTGTAGCACCGTGGGTGGGCCTCAAATTTGTGTGTGTGTGTGTGTTTTAAGAATTATTTATTCTTATACATTATTGTTATTTTTAAATTTGCTGTAGGGTACACATGCTCACCAGAGAGAGACAAAGAGAAAAAGAAAGAAAGAAAATGAGAGCTCTCAGCAACCTGCCAGATCTGGGACTCGAACTGTGGTTGACCACATGGGAGTCTAGTGCCTTAACCACCACTCAACCTGCTGGTCCCCCAAATTTGTGTTTTAAAAGATATCTTTAGGGCCTGTGTAGAGGATGGACTAAATAGAAGTGAAATAAGTTAAAGCTAGGGATATTCTTTGTGTCTCTCCATTGCGAAACTTCAGCTAAGTGGTGGTACTAGGAATGAACGTATTTAAGGGGTGGAATCATCAATACTTGGTGTCACTTTGGATCTGAAGGAAAGAGCCAGGTGTCTGGCTTGGGACATGGGTAAGTAGTAGTGCTAGTCACTGAGCTGAGGAACAAGAAGGAGGAAACAAATCAAAGGGGCAGGAGTGATGAGTACAGTTTGATGTGCAGTGAGACAACCTACAGGTATATCCAGGACATAAGGGGCTGGAGCTCCAAGAGTGCCCTATAGAAGCTGTCTGTGTATAAATGGCATCACTCAGAGTGGGAAGAGTAAGTAGAGAGGTGAGCCGAGGCTGGCACCACAGAAAATACTGTAAAAACTATAGTCTCTTCTCTCAGTCTGAATGTCCTTTCTCTAACTAAATCTTCTTTTAAGATTGTATTTGGTGTCTCTCACCAAGATTGTCTGAATCCTCCCATGAGATTGTTTAGATACTGTCTTACTCAAGAATCTCTTTCATATTGTCATGACAACACTTACCCATAGAGTAAAAGGAGTAGGGAGAAGGGAATGCTAAGGAGAATGAGTAATACAGGAAGGAGGAGATCCAAAAACCAGAAAACTAGTGCATTTAAAAAAAGAAGGTATCAGTCCAACCAGTGGTGTGGTGGTTAAAGTGGCTGGATCCCATAGGGCTGACTGTGAAGTTCTCATTCCAGACTCAGGAGTTTGAAAAACATGCCAGGTGCATGTGCACACATGTCCAGAATCTTGAGAGAATAGAGAAGAGACTGTGGCATGGCTATTGACCCTGGGGAGTGCTTTTTCATTTTCCCTGGCACCCCATCTCTCTTTGGCAAATACTCTATACTAGAATTAAAAAAAAAGTGTCTTAAATTTGGGACAAGAATCAACAGAATTTAAGAGTAGGGAGAGTCATTGGCTTTCCTATTGCTCTTGGGAGGTTTGATTTTTGCCTGAAATCTCACATAAATTCAATTATAGTCAAGACTGGACCTAGCTTATATATTTATATATATATAATATATATATATAAATGAAGGAGAGAAATGGGTATTTTTGGCAGGATCTCAATGTGTTGCTATTCTTATGTCCAAGTCTTCCAGTTAGTTATATAACCACAAACATGCGCTACCACACCCAGCCTGTTTAGTTTGGACCAGGAACTGAACCTGGTCCTCCCATGTGGCTCCAGCCTTATATGGTAGCACCTTCCCACCTGTGCCACTGTCGCTGGGTGGTTACTAGCTTTTATTAAGTGATGTTGGTTTTCAGGGTTAGTTTCAAACGTATCATAAAAATATTAAAGTTGATTTTTGATGAAGAATACATTTGGAGCAGAGGATATAAGTAACCTTGTTTGTGGAGCTTGTTGGTAGTAATGCTGTTATGTGTTCTTATTTCACAACAAAGGCAAATTGCAAAAGTCAAGAAGCTAAAATGGAATTTATAAGTATATTAAATTAAAACTCACTTGGCTGGCCTCATAGTTTAATGGTTAATCTCTATGCAGAGGAAGCTGAATCCCATGTGGTAAGCAGGGTTTGAGTCTCAGTTTGTTGACTGTAAAAACACATTGGGCATACATACACATGCCCAGGATCCTGATGGGATGGAGAATTGGAGGAAAAAGGACTGCAGCGTGACCAGACCCAGCCTAGGTGTCTCTTTCTGTCTTACCTGTGCCCTGATGAGTGGATGCATTTTCAAAAAGACAAACTGATTTGGAAAGTAATGTTATGTTGGCATAAAATCAGATCATTGAAAGAAATGAGATTATCAGTATGCATCTTTTCCATAGTAATCAATTCCAATTTTACTTTTGTTAATATTTAGATCTGCCAAAACAAGAATTCCAATTCATAGAAAAGAGTACCAAGTCAGACTCTGCAGAAGATGGTCTCTTGTGGCAACTGCTACAGGATGTCCCTGCTTCTTGTCCAGCTCTAAGCCCTGCACCAAGCCCTGCAGCTCGCCTTGCACCAAGCCCTGCAGCTCGCCGACTAGAGCATCTCACCTCCAAGCTTCAGAAAATTGATGAACAGCTCTTAGCAATACAGAACATTGCTGAAAACGTAGAGCAGGATTTCTCCGGACCTGAAATGTTAGATCTCTGTTATGATAAGGTAGACTGTCTTTAGTTTTTATTCTGTTCATATATTTGTAGTATGACATCATTTAGACACTTCATTCTTCAAAATAGTGGGGGATTTGGTTTCTTTAAGCTAGAGTTTCTCAACTTCAGCACAATTGACATTTGTTCCACATAATTGTTGGGGAGTGGGTTCGGTACGTGGCAGGACATTCTGCAGCATGCCTGGGCTTACCCATTAACTACCAGTAGCATCTTCTCAGTTGTAATAATAAAAAGTGTCCTCAGATCTTCCTCTGTAGGCCAAAAACCATCCCTAGTTAAGAACCACTGCTTGAAGCTTTTAAAGAGCGAGTCCATGCTTCCTACCGGGAAAAAAATACATGTAAATTACAAAATGAGAATATGATTTTAAAGACTTTCTACTTGTAATTAAGTATCATTTTCTTCTGAAAGGTTTTTTATAACTTTACAAATATTATTTTACTTATATTTGGAATTATTCTCAGTTTCTGTTAAATACTTCTATGTATCTATATACTTCTATTATACTTTCTAGTAACAGTAGTAATCAGTTCATTAGAAGATGTCTGTGTCTTCAAAGAATATTTATAAGCAGGACCAGCAGTTGGCATAATGGCTATGTCACTGGACCTCCACGTAGTCCACTGCAGTTCGAGTCCTGGACCCGGTGACTTAAACTCATGCCAGGCTTGTATGTGTGCGTGCTCAAGATCCCGAGAGGAGAATGGAGGAGAAGGGGTTGTGGTGTGGCCATCCCCCCTGGGGGGTGATTTCTTGCTTTCTGTCTCTTTGTCTGTCTCTCTGGCAAGTGCATGCGCCCTGTAGCAAAAACCTCTCAAAAAAATTTATAAGGTAAATTCATGTTTATATATAATAATAGTCAAATCAAAGAGTAAGGCAGTCTGAGGGCCTGCAGGTGGCATAGTAATTTAGGCATTGGACACTCCCACATGACCGACCACATTTCAGGTCCTGGACCTAGTGACTTACTTTCTCAGTTTCCTTCTCTGTCTGTCTCTGCTCAGATTAAATAAATGAATGAATAAATAAATTTAAACAAATAATTCTTTTTTTAAAAAAATACACTCTCCCTGCTAAAAAAAATAAATAAAAAAACAGTAAGAAAGTCTCAAAAATTGTTTTGCACAAACATCTTGTGCAAACATCTTTGCGTGAACATCTAGTTCTTGCTCTTTTTTCTTTTTCTTTTTTTTCTTTTCCTTTTTCTTTCTCTTTCTCTTTCTCTTTCTCTTTTTCTTTTTCTTTTTCTTTTTTCTTTTCCTGTAAGGTGCATTCATGTGCCACAGAGAGGCGGAAAGGGAAAATGATAATTCACCTTCCACGGGTTGTGGCCACAGTGTAGTCCCTAATCTTCCATTATCCTCTCAAGATTTTTGGCATACATGAACATATACTTGGCATGTTTTTCAAGCTGCCGACTCAAACCATGGAGTTGGCTGTGTGGAATCCAGCACTTTAACCCCCATGCCACCTGCTGGCCCCTATTCTTCTTCTTCTTCTTCTTCTTCTTTTTTTTTAAGAATTATTTATTTTATTTGTTATTATAATTTTTTAATTTGACCAGAGAAAGATAGAGAAAGAGAAAAAAATGGAAAGTGAAAGAGCAAGCTGCCAGGTCCAGGACTCGAACCATGGTCAGCCATGTGGAAGTCCAGCACCTTATCCACCATGCCACCTACTAACTCTCATCTTGTTCTTTTTTAAGGAAGAAAAACTTATATAAGGACTAAAGAACAAATAGTAAAAATCTGTTAAACAGGTTAAAGTCTAATGTTGGGAAATGCAAATTAGTTTGCAAGATAAGAACCCCGTCACTGATATACCTAATGTTGCTAGCATGTTGATACTTAAGAAAATGTATTTATTATTCTTACAGTGTTTCTTTAATACAAGCATTTAATACATATTTAAAAGTTATAATTAAGCATATGTGAAACTACATTGAAGAAATATGAGGTAGGACTACTGTTAATGATACTATGGTGTTTAGTTGTTTTACTTTGAGCCCAGACTTAGCTCTATCATATACAGATGAATATTGAGCATCAGTTAGTCCTTAGAATACCTTACTACAAAGAACTACTTTTAAAATTTACTTCTGACTTAATTCAATAACCATATCTAAAATAGCTCACTGATACCTGAGTGTAGTCTTGATCTTGGCTTCCACAGTTGCAGAAGTCCAAGAACCTTTCATTTCTTTAGCAAGCATTCATTGAGCATCTCCTATGGGTTAGGTTCTATGCTGAGCTCTGGGGATAGAATGATAAATAAGGCATAGTACCACACAAAAGAAGCTCAGAATCCAGTGAAAGAAGATAGATGTATATACAAATGGATAGTTATATACTGGGTGCAGTGAAGACAGGTAGGCACTCTTGGCCAGTCGTGAGTGGACATGGTAAGTGAAACTGTGGCATCTGAGAAGGCTTTGCAGAAGTGACTCCAGAGCTGTTATGAATTAGCATTCATCATTTATCTGAGGAAGGGCTGAAGAAACATTGTGAGTTAAAGCAGAAAGGTCCTGGACCTTTACTTGGAGGTAGAGGTTGGTTGAACTGGGCTTTAAGACATCAGGCAGGGGCCAGCCAGTGGTGTGGTGGTTAAGGCAGCTGGATCCCACATAGCCAACTGCACACTTTGAGTCCCAGGTCCAGGAGCTTGAAAAAACATGTTAAGTGTGTGTGTGAGCATGCATTTATGCCCGAAATCCCGAGGGTGAAATGGAGGAGAAGAGATTGTGGCATGCCCATACCCATGGGGAGTGCTTTTTCACATTCCTTCTCTTTCATTGTCTGGTGAGTGCATGTGTCCTCTGGCAAATTAAAAAAAAAAATCTGGCAGAAGTGAGTAGGGGCAGGTAAGGAAGAATGGAAAGCACTGCGTTGGGATTTTATCCTGTAAGTAGGCAGAATGATTCCTATGGAGAATAACTGAAGAATGTAAAGCAATGAAGCAGTATTATTAGACATGCTAGCAGTAGTGTGGAAGGTAGATGGGAAAGGATAAGACTGGAAACAGGGAGATCAGTGGGGTTACAGTGATCCAAAACCTAGCTGCTCATTAGATCATCTTGGGAAAATGTTACAAATGCAAACTCCTGTGTCCCAAATCTCTGAGATGCTGATTTTAAGTAGGTCAGGAATCTGTATTATTAACAAGCTTCATGAATGATTCTTATATTGCTAGCTCTGTACAAGGTCCAGTGATGGGGTTCACTTCATACCCAGGCAAGAAATAAAATGTACCTTAACCATGGCAGGAGGAAGAGAAGGAAGAATGCAGCAGGATTTAGAGACAGAGGTTGATAAGCTGTGGGAAGGTGAAGGAGACAGATGATAGAGATTTACAGTGCTGTCCAGATTCCAGTGTAGGTGAATGGTAGATTCATTTTCCAAACTAAAGAAGAGGAGAGGAAATGTATGTGAGGGTGGGGACGGCAGTGATTTATATCAGAGACGTGAAATTGGAGGTGCTGTGAGATTAGTAGGCAGTCGGTTACACGTTTCTTGAGCTGAGGTGATAGGTCTGAGCGGAAGGTACAAATTTCGGAGTCATCAGTTAGGATGTTCAAAGCATAATAGCAGAGACACTTGTCCTAGAGAGAGCAAGCACATAGAGTGAAACAAAAAGAGAGTAAACGAGAGAATCCTGTGGGTGTAGTACCTTTAAGGATGAGTATTAAAACAAGCTTGAGAACAAACAGGCGGAGGTAGAGAGAATGCTAGTTAAAGAGAAATTCAAGAAGGAGTTTCCATATCTGAGTCCATGAGGTGGCTATACAACTGTGCATGTTGAGATAACCCAGGATGCTTTTTTGGAGAGGTTTATTTATTTATTTATTTATTTATTTGTTTATTTGTTTGTTTTTGTTTTTTTTGCTATAGGGCACATGCGCTCGCCAAACAGGCAGAGAGAGACAGAGAGACAGAAAGTGAGAAATCACCCCCGGGGGGATGGCCACGCCACAATCCTTTCTCCTCCATTCTCCTCTTGAGATCTTGGGCACGCACGCACACGCACCCGGCGTGAGTTTTAAGCCGCTGGGTCTGGGATGCAAACCACGGTTGACTACATGGGAGTCCAGCAACATAGCCATTACGCTAACTGCTGGTTCCAATGCTTTTTCAAAATATACATTACTGAGTCTGGGGGAGGTGAAGGTAGCTTGGCATCTTGAAGAAATTCCCCCAATTCTGATAGAGCTCCCCTCTCAGCCATTGCCTTTTAAGACTGGAAGTCAGGGAGTGTTTCATTAACTACAAATGGCAGGCAGATGGTAAATGTTTGCTGGGTACTTCTACCCTTTTGCTTTTGGATCCTGGCAGTATTAAAATCACACTTATATACTAAAGATTGACCGCTAGAACAGTTATCTTTTTTTATTAAAATTTATTTATTTATATTCATTCACTATACATCATTACAATATAAAAAATGAGATTTCCCATCCAGAATACAATGTATATTGGCTCAATCAAGCACAGCAGCATACGTGTTATCATCAACAAATAATTTTCCATTTCTTGTTTCGTGTATATTTTCCTTTTTTTTCCCCATCCTTGATTCCCTATCTCTCACCCTCTGCCGTGACCCACCCTCCTCCCACACTGTCTCTGGTATCCCATGATTGCTTTCTATGCCCCCCCCATTTTATTGATTCACTAATGAACTTAATCTAAATATTTCCAATAGCAAGCACAGCTGATACATACATATCCATCAACCCAAGTCTGATTTTAGGCGTAAACATCAGTGAGTAGAATGAACATACTATAAAGTAGCACCTAGATGGGCTATATAGCTTACTGCAGTCATCAAATATGCATGGTTTTTTATTTATTTATTTTTTCTTTGGAGAGGTTTTTGCTATAGGGCATGTGTGCTCGCCAGAAAGACAAAGAGAGACAGAGAGACAGAAAGCGAGAAATCGCCCCCAGGGGGGATGACCATGCCACAACTCTTCTCCTTCATTCTCCTTTTGGGATCTTGGGCTCGCACACACACGAACCCGGCGTGAGTTTAAGCCACCGGGTCCAGGACTTGAACTGTATGTCTACTGTTGTCTTCCATTCCTTTTCCCCCATTTTATTGATTACAAAATTTCTTAAATAATCTACTTTCAATTGCAAGTTCAGCTGATAATTTCAAGAAAAGCAGTTTTGAATTGGTAAGGAAATTTGCTTAAAACTTAAAGCCTGGAAACAGGTTAGTATTCTGTTCATATAGTAGGTACATGAACCTATTGACAGCTCAAGACAGGACAAAAACTCTTAAAATTGGATAACAAAACCTAGAAGAAAAGCAGCAATATTTTAGTCAAAAGTCACAGAATGCTATTTCACCAATTCAGTCTCATGTGCTTAATCTTTCTTGTGCTGTGGTTCGATCTTCCTGATTGAATTCTGGGATATAATATTCAACTCCAGACTTGTCCCTATGATTAAGTTGGCCATTTTCTTAGTTTTTGAACTCTTATTTTTGTGTGTCAGCATTTAATTTTCCTGACACAGCACTCTTTTGAGAACTTCTTGGAGATCTGGTCTGATGCTGGTAAATTCTTTCAGGTTTTGTTCATCTGAGGATGTTCTTGTCTTTTCTTCCCATATGAAGGATAATCTTAACGGGTACAGTATTCTTGGTCGAAATTGCTTTTCCCTTAACTTTTTGAATGTATTTTCCTATTCTTTCCTTGCTTGGATGGTTTCCCATGAGAGGTCTGCTGTTAGTCTGGTGGGATATCCTTTGTAGATAACTTGCCATTTCTCTCTTGCCAATCTTAGTATCTTGTCTTTTTCTGTGGTTTTGGTCAGTTTGGCTATAATGTGTCTTAGAGAAAATCTTCTTGGGTTGATTCTATTTAGGGTCCTTTGTAATTCTTGGGACTGGATCTTTGAGTGCCTCTCTAGGTTTGGAAAGTTTTCTTACAGGATTTCATGGAATAGATTATCAATGCCCTTATGGGTCTCTTCACCTTCTGGGTTGCCAATTATCCACGTGTTTGGATGTTTGATGGTATCTAATACTTCTCGTATATTATTCTCAAGTTTTCGGGCCATTTTCTCAGTCTTCGTGGTGGATTTTTCTAGGCCAGCAATTTTCTCTTCTACATCTGAGAGTCTATTTTCTGTATGATCTCGTCTGCTTTTAATACTTTCAAGGGAGATTTTGACTTCCTGTATTATAGCCTTCATCTCGAACAGTTCCACTTGATTCTTTTGTAAAGTGTGTAATTCCTCTTTCAGATCTTGCAAGAATTTCCTCACCTCTTGGAACTTGTCAGCTCTTTTCTCCTTTCTCTCCTGCAGTTTATTGTCTCTCTTCTCTTCCATTTCTGTTAGCTTCACCATTATGAGTGTTCTAAATTCTTTATCAGACATTTCCATGATTTCCATTGAACTGTCTGTGGATGAAGAGGAGTTATTCTTTTCCCTTGAAGGAGAGGTATTTTCTTGCTTTCCTATATTTCTTGTGGCTCTGTGGTGATTTCTAGTCATCTGAATGATGGTGTGTTTCTTCCCACACTTGAAGTTCAATCTGAGCATCCAGGAACGTGCAGAAAATGAAACAGAGAGAGAGAAATAACAGCAATAAAAACAACCAAGAAACAGAAAAAGAGAAGGAAAAAAACTAAAAAAAAAAAAAAAAAAGCAAAAATTAGAAAACCACATGGCATGCAGGCGCGCCGTGCAAAATCACTAATTCTCAGGAGCTATGAAGGTGTCTTCTGAAGTCCTGCTCCCTTGCCTCTCCTGGGTTGGGAGGGGGAGAGGGTATTATTAACGATAAAGTGAAGGGAGGGGCTGAAAGCCAAGAAAATGCTTTACCTTAAAAAATTTTAGAAAGGAAAAATTACAAAAAAATGAGAAGACAGAGACAGAGGTAGAGAGACAGAGACTGAGACAGAGAGAGACAGGAGGCTCGAAAGGCTTCCTACCACTCGAGTTTGTGGGATGGAGGCTGAATTATCAGTGGAAAATCTTCATTTTGCTTATCCCCCTGAAATCACTAGTTCTCAGGAGCCATGAAGGTGTCTTCTCTAGAACAGTTATTAATACTTGTATCACAAGCTTGGGAGACAGTTTCAAAAGAAGAATTCCAGAAACATTTGTTCAAAGTCAGTAACTATTTAGTCTTCCAAGAAGCTATCACAGAGTCAATAAAACTAATATTTAAGTGATAGATTTGGTGATTTTAAAAAAAATTCTCGCACCCTATTATAGTGTGTACATACATGCCAACATTTAGGAAAAGAGCTTGTAGGCCTGGAAGAGGCAGAGGATTACTGTAGGCAAGCACTGACAAGGAGTCTTGAAGACCTAGGTTGAAAGCCATATTTTGGGATTAAATAAGTCACTGCTTCTTTCTGGGCCTTGTATTCTCATCCTTCAAATGAAAGATTTTATGTACATTGTAGTTAAGTTTCCTCCCATTCTTGTCTTTTTTCCCCTTAAGAGAGATTTTTGCCATAGAGTGAGTGCTCTTTCCAGGGAGAGAGAGAGAGAGAGAGAGAGAGAGAAAGAGAAAGAGAAAGAAAGAAATAACACCCAAGGGGGGATGGCCATGCAGCAATCCTTTCTCCATTCTCCTCTCAGGGTCTTGGGCATGCATGCACACATGCACGGCATGAATTTTAAGTCACTGGGTCCAGAACTTGAATCACAGTCAACTCCATGGAAGTCCAGTGATGCAACCATTATGCCATCTACTGGTCCCCAAGTATCCTCCCATTCTAAAACTATATGATACCACTTTCCTGAGCCTCTTAAAAGGTTAAATCAATATAGCTACACATAAGTAAAAATTTTCCTTTTTTTTAAGTTGTGTTTTTCTGTTGTTTTCCTTCTTTCTCTCTCTCTTTCTCTCTCTCTCTTTCTCTCTCTCTCTCTCTTTCTCTCTCTCTCTTTCTTTCTTTCTTTCTTTCTTTCTTTCTTTCTTTCTTTCTTTCTTTCTTTCTTTCTTTCTTTGCTATAGGGCATATATACTTGCTAGAGAGAGACAAAAAGAGAGGGAACGTGCAAAATCACCCCCTAGGGTGGATGGCCACACCGCAATTCCTTCTCCTCCTCTCAGAACTTTGGGCAAATGTACACATGCACCTAGTATGTTTTTATTCTTTTTTTTTTTGAGAGAGGGATTTTTGCTCCAAGGCGCATGCACTTGCTGGTGAGATAGAGAGGCAGAAAGACAGAAAGTGAAAAATCACCCCCCTGGGGTGGGGTGGATGGCCACATCACAATCCCTTCTTCTCCATTCTCCTCTTGGTATTTTGGATACATACGCACATGTGCCTGGTGTGAGTTTTAAGCTGCCAGGTCTGGACTCAAACCATCGTTGACTACATGGAAGTTGAGTGACATAACCCTCTGCTGGTCCCATGCCTGTTGTATTTTTTAAGTTGCCAATCCTGGACTCCATGCCACCTGCTGGCCCCAAATTTCCTCTTTATTGATCCCTACCATTTAGCTCATATTGAATTTAATCCCTTTTCTTTCACTTGTTGCATTAATACAGATGTTCGAAACTTACATGAAATTGCTTAATGATATTTTAAAATTCTCAAAGTATAAAATTTGTAACTTGTTTTATTGTGTGTGTGTGTGTGTTTTTTTCCTATAGATTGGACAAGCAGATCACAGTGAATTTTCTTCTGGCCCCGAATTTGATAAAACATTAGCTTCAAAAACGATTAGCATTTCTGAAGAAGGTTTGTGGAGTTTGGGAGGGTGGAACTAAAGCCTTGTTTTGGTTGACCTAGCAGAAACGGTGCTACTTTTTGGAGTGCCAGAGTTAGGGATAGTTTTCATGTGAGCACAACTCAGCAGCCACCTGATTTTTAGGTTGGGATTATTTTTGTAATAATGTGATTGACTCTCACCCCAGGGCCATTATTTTATGAAAAGCCAATAATCTCCTCTGGCTTTTAGACCAGAATGGAGCAATGTAGCCTGAATCTTAAGTGCTGTGAACTCGAAGCCACTGGCCACACAGTGCTAAGGATCACATGGAACTCTGCTGAGGTTGCTGTTTGTCTGTGGTAGTAAATTGAGCTGGAATTGGAGGTTCTTGTTAAACAACCAGGCAATGGCGAGGAATGGTGATGTTTTCCCTTCATCTTTTCTGATGTTTTCTAATTTCTTTTTTAACCCTATTATTTAGTCTCTCTTGCCCTTTTTTTTTTTTAAGTCAGTGCTGATTTGAAATTTTGTCCATATTTACATCTTTCTAAAATTTGTAATTTAAATAAGAAAAACATGGAAGCAGGAAATGTGTAAAACCAACACATAAGTTTCATTAAATAACCCTAGGTTTTCTATTCCTTGCTGTTGTTGCCCACAGTAGTTTTTGGCGTCCTCTTCTTTAAGGATTCAATTTCCTTTTTCCCCTCTTTTATAGTTGTTTTCATCCAGAGTCTCTGAGTGGTAAATTCTCTTAGTCTTTGAAAATAGCTTCAATTTTTCCATAATTCTTGAATTATCAGTTTGTTGCTGATACAGAATTCTAAGATTTTTCATTATTTTCCATCAGTACCTTAAAATCATAATGCTGTTATTTACTGACATCACTAATACTTAATAATCAATCTAATTGCTATTCTTTTATTTTGGCTTACTTAAAAATTCTTTTTACTATTTATTCATTTTGCTTTTTTTTTTTGAGAGATTTTCGCTATAAGGACCGTGCACTCGCCAGACAGAAAGAGAGACATAGAGACAGAAAGTGAGAAATCACCCCCCGGGGGGATGGTCACGCCACAATCCCTTCTCCTCCATTCTCCTCTTGGGATCTTGGGCATGCATGCACATGCACCCACTGTGAGATTTAAGCCACCGGATCCGAGACACGAACCACGGTTGACTACGTGGGAATCCAGCGACATAGCCATTATGCTAACTGCTGGTTCCCTCATTTTGCTTTTTTGATATAGTGTGTCTAGGCGTATTATTTTTTTAATTTATTTCTATCAGAGTAGAATTGAGTCTTCAATTTGAGGATTTAACATTGATAATTTTGATCCATTATGTTTAAGAGAATTGCTTCTTTCCCATTCTTTGTTTTCTGTATTCTAAAGCACCTATTTACAGTAGGTTGGACCTTCTTTTGTTCCCTATCCTTTTAATCACTCCTTCTTAATTTCTTTTTTTTTTTGGAGAGATTTTCACTGTAGGGCGCGTGCGCTCGCCAGACAGACAGAGAGAGACATAGAGACAGAAAGCGAGAAATCACCCCCCAGGGGGGATGGTCACGCCGCAATCCCTTCTCCTCCATTCTCCTCTCGGGATCTTGGGCACGCAAGCACACGCGCCCGGCGTGAGTTTTTAAGCCACCGGGTCCGGGACACGAACTGCGGTCGACTACGTGGGAGTCCAGCGACATAGCCATTACGCTAACTGCTGGTTCCCTCTTTTTTTTTTTTAAAGAAGGATTTTTGCTATATGGCCTGTGTACTTGCCAGAGACAGAAAGGACCAAGAGATAGAAAGCGAGAAATCACCCTCCAGGGGGTTGGCCATACCACAGTTTCTTCTCCATTGTCCTCTCAAGATTTTAGGCACATATGCACATGCGCCTGGTGTGAGTTTTAAGCCACCAGGTTCAGGACTTGAAATGTGGTCAACTATGTGTTGATCAATCATCATAACCATACACCATCTGCTGGTCCCAACTCCTTCATAATTTCTACCTCTTTTTCTCTCAGTGGTATACTTAGGGTGATTGCCTCAGATCTGTCTTCTAGTTTACTAATTTCTCTTTTCTGCTCTGTTTTCTTTTTTGTTCCCACCTATTCATTATGATTTTAGTTTCAATGACTACCTTTTTAATACCTCATTCTATTTATTTATTTTTCAACTCTATCTGTTCTTTAGATATTCTGCCCTCTTCTTTTATTGTGGCTTCTATCCTTTATCATTATAGTCATATTTTAATGACTAACCTAGATTTTGTTTTATTTCATCTATATATATTCTTAATAGCTAAATTTGCCTACTGACTCTCTTTTATGTTTGTTTGTTCCTTCATGTCATTTGTGATTGTTTAAGTTTTCATTTTATTTATTTCTTCCATGAGAGAAAGAGAAGTTCCTCTAACAGTGCCCGTATAACACGATCCACCCTCAATCTAGCCAGCTTAGATCCGGGTTATGCACATACACCCGGTGTGTCCACAGTTGCCGTGGGACTTGGACTGAGGACCTTCCTTTGTGGGACCAGTTGTGCTACCACTACTCCACCTCCTGACATCTGTAATTATTTTCACTAAAGTTTGCTTATTTCTTTCATGGATAAGGGAGACACAGACAGGCACTCCCAAAACTATTACACCACCATTCTGTCCTCAGCCAGCCAGATTCTGAGTTATATGCACTCATTGCTGACATGCACACAGAGACTTTAGGATGTGAACCAAAACTTTCCCATACAGTGTCATTAGCATCGCAGAATGTTGTGTTACTGTTGTAACATGAGACTAACCTCTAATTTTTATTTTATGGCGGGCTTATCTTTAGGGGGTTTTGTCATGATAATATGTTTATATTTATTGTAATTTTGCATTTGCTTTTTTTAAAATTTGTGACTTTTTTGGTTATTTAAGTTTATTTTTAAATTTTAAAAATATTTTTTTATTTCAATTTCTTTTATACATTCAATCACGTATGTCACTTAGCTGGCAAAGTGAATATTTCAACATGTATACATTTCTCACCAATCCAGTTGAGAATACTATACACATTATCCTCAATAGATGATAATAATGTCCATTTGTCTTATAATGCCTTGCCTCTGCATTTGCTTTTTGCTGTCACTGAAACTGAAAAAAAAATTTCAGAATTTTTTTATATAAATTTCTGGAAGTTGCCATACTACATAAATAGTACAAAATCAGACCCTTCACTCACTGTGACAAGCTAGGATTATCTTTTTTGTTTTAGAGATATTTTTGCTACAGGCCATGTGTGCTCACCAGAGAGATAGAGACAGAGAGACAGAAAGCAAGAAATCACTCACTAGGAGGGTTGACCATTCTGCAATCCCTTTTCCTCATTTCTCCTCTTGGGATTTTGGGCACACATGCACACATGCCCTGCTTGAGTTTTAAGCTTCCAGGTCCAGGACTTGAACCATGGTTGACTATGTGAGAGCCCAGTGACATAACCATTATGCCATCTGCTGGTCCCCAGAGTTGCCTTTTATTTTTCTCCTATTCACTGTCTATGCAGATAGAAAATTTCTGATGTTTTTCCAGGGTGGGGATATTTTCCCCCGTTTTATAGACAGAGCTGCCCTTCAGTGTTCTAGGCCATATGATGATACTCATTTTCCTTCACTACAGTCTGTGGAAACTGTATCCCCTGTTCCTCTGTGGACTGTCCCAACATTACTGTCCACTTACTGCTCCAGCTTTGAGGTCTTTTTTCCTCTTCTGGTACCAGGGATTTTTCTGTTTAGAGGTATTTGTTGTATACTAGACTTTTTTTTTTTTATTTAAAAAGATGGAAAAATATTCACCATCTCTTATCATTAGAGAAATGTGAATCAGAACCACAGTGAGATATCACCTAAGTCCATCAAAATGGTTATGATTAAAAAATAATAAAAAGTGCTGGTGAGGTTGCGGAGACTAGGGAAACCTGTACTAGCGCTGCTGGTAGGGACATCAATTATTAGTACAGCCATTGTGGAATACAGCGCAGAGGTTTTTCAAAAATCTGAAAATGGAAGTACCATATAACCCAGCAGTGCCACTATTGGGATATCCAGAGGACACAAAATCAGTCAGAGAGACCTTTGCATACCCATGTTTATTGCAGCATTATTCACAATAGCTTAGTCATGGAATCACCCTAAGTGCCCAAAAATGATGGGCTGGGAAAATATGGTGCATATACATAATGGAATACTACTTAGTCATAAAGAACAACAAATTTCTATCATTGACACAAAGTGGACAGACCTAGATAAAATAGTGCTAAGTAAAATAAGCCAGACTATGAAAGACAAGTACTGTATTTCTGTTAAACATATACTGAATGTCCACATTCTGTAGTGGAAAATGAAGGACTAAAGAGAAATAGAGTAATGGTAAATAATAGAAGCTGCTTGGGGCGGGGTAGAAAATAAGGGCGTGCGGGGGGGGGGGGGGGGCTAGAGGGAGGGCTCATAAGAAAAAATTTAATGGATGTAAGAATCTTCATAAATAAGTGGAAAAAGCTATGGGATGCTGTATCACAGCAGAGTGAAAAATATGGACAATTTAATATATATATTTTGAAAAGCATTGTTTTTATAGCAGGGCATGAGCCTGTGTACTTCAACTCACTCTGTCATGTTTTACAAAATTAATAATACATTTTTTGTACTATGGGAGAATTTTAAGTCTCATATAAAATTAATTTATTAAAACAATTGCCAGAATAATATGTTGCAGACTTCTAATATATCTGTCGCCATATACGTGTTAGAACATCGTTTTCTTTTCCATGTGATTTTTTTTCCCTCTACTCAATTTTAACTGTGCTGTATACTCTGGAATAGTGCATTTTCTGACTCATATGGATGAGGAGGAGCAAAGTAACAAAGAGGAGACTTCAGAAACGGAATTTTCAGTGACAGAAACTCATTCTAGTCAGAAAACCCATGCGTTGCCTTCTGCAGATTCAGCTATCAGCCTTCGCAGTGACCAGAATACTGCTTTCCCCGGTATGGTTCTGTACTGTTTTCATTTACACACACTCTTATCCTCTATTATAATGTTAGTGAACAGTATTTACTGGGAAAATGTATGCGCAAGGTTTATGTAATATTTATTTCCGGGGAAGGGATATTAAAACCTGTGCCATTTACATGGAGGACTGTTGTCACCTTCATAAGAGACACTGCAACCATGTGTTGTATCTCTTGGTAACTTACTAATGTTAATATATAGCAACTAAAATTACTGTATAATTGGATTTTTATAAAAATTGAGAAATTCAATCTCTACCAGTGATGAGACCTTTGCGTTTTAATTTGAAAACAAAATGATACTTGTCATTTATTGAGCCTCTAACATGTGCCCCATATTACACGATTGGTTCCTGGTACAAGCCTGACCTATAAAGTAGATGAAATTATTCTCCCCATTTACGGTTGAGCATATTGAGACTTAGAAAGGTTTAGTGTTATTTTCTATTCCATTGCATTTGGAGGTGGCAATTAAAAGTGCAGTTCTTTAGTCCCAAACAAATATATTTTGTCAGATGAATAATAGGGCATAGTAAACACAGCAGTGCTAACACTGATAGTGGCTTAGAAATACAGATATTTCTTGTGCTCAGATATTGATAGTCAATAAAATGATATTACTACTTAGAGTTGTTTTATTACCATTATTAAAGTAAAATTAGCAGTAAAAATGCTGTTTTTACATGACCTTGCTGTTACTTAAATTAAAAAAAAAAACAGGTTTAGGAGCAAACTTCTGGGCCGTCCTGTGGTGGTTGGGGCCACTGGATCCAAAAAACTGAAAGCATGGTTGAATCCTGGACCTGGCATCTTGAGAAACATGCTGAGGACAGATGGGTCGGCGCCCAAAATCCCAAAAGAAGGGCGAAATGAAGAAGGAATTGCAGCATGGCCATTCCCCATGGGAGGCGCTTTCTCTCCCCTCCAATCCTCAGAGAGCACATGTGTGCTCTGGACAAATAATGAAACCAAAAAAAGCAAAAAAAAAAAAAAAAGCAGACTTGAAATCTTATAATTATTTTCTCTAAGTTCTGTTTTTTGTCTTTTTTTTAAAGTTTCTTTCTTTCATGAGAGAAGAGAGACAGTAGTGATTGAGAGATATGAAACGTGGCCAGGTTTGACAAGGTTTGCCTAGGTTCATAAGTGCTATGGTGGTAGGCTGTTGGTCACAGATCACTAACAGCAGAAGGAAGGACAATTTGTTGCCAATCTGCGTTTAATAACTAACACTGAAACCTTTACTCTGAGGGCTCACCATCTTTGACTAACCCTACCTCTTTCCTCTCAGGCAGCCCAGCCTGTGCTGCCAGGGGATCTTTCAAGTTCTCTTCATAAATAGGTCGGCTGGGGCCACTCAGACACTGGTGGAAAGTATCTGTTTAGTGTACCCTCTCTTTCCAAATAGTATCTTTTTCTCCTGAGCAAAGAGCTACAAGGGGATAGTATTACTATTGCTATAATCTTAGATTTATCTTTATTATTATTAAATTACTAGGGTACGTGTGCACTCACCAGAGAGAGACATACAGAGAAAGAGAGAACGAGGGAGAAAGCACCCTCCCCCGCACTCAGTGGAGTGTGGTCACCCTACAATCCTGTCTCCATTTCCTTATCCTAGCAAGATCTGGGGCACACATACACATGCACCCAATTTATTTTTTGAGCTCCCAAGGCCAGGATTCAAACTGTAGTTAGCCATGTGAAGTCTGTTTCCCTTAATCACCAGGCTACAAGACCAGCCCAGGACTTACAAAAGGTATTTCTCTTAGTTAAATTTAATTAATCACTATTAAGAACTCACAAATTGACCAGCCACAGTGGCGCAGGAGTAACGCAATGCATTCTGATGTTATGGCCACATGGGAAAGTCCTGGGTTCATGTCCCGAGGTCTCCTAGTACATGCTAGATAATCCTGACTGAATCTGGGGAGTAAATTATAGCATAAAGACCCTCTTGGGAGTGCTGTCTGTCTCTCTTTCTCTGTCTCTCTCTCATGGGAGAAATAAATAAACTAAAAGGAAAAAAAAAACAACTTCATGATTGCCCACACTCTGGAAACAAAGAAATGGGGATTAATGAATTAAACAAAACAAAATGTGCTCAAGAAAACAAAAATATTTTATATTAAAAACAAATGAGGGGCCAGCAGGAGGGGTAGTGGTTAAGACACTGGATCCCACGTGGCTGACACAGTTTGAATCTCAGACCTGGAGGTGGACCTGTGTGTGTACATGCTCAAAATCCTAAGAGGAGAATGGAAGAGAATGGATTGCAGCATGGCCATCCCCCGCCTGCGAGTAATTTCTCACTTTCCCTTTCTCTCTCTCTTTCTGGCAAGCGCATGCACCGTATGGCAAAACAAAGAACCAAACAACTAAAAAACAAAACAACAAAAAAATGAGAATATAAATCTTAGGGACAAGTTTGGTTTATCTTAGCCTAGAAATACCTTAACAAGGGAATTTTTTTTTGAGTAGTAATGTCAGAACATTTTTCCCTCCATTAACTTTCTTTCCGAGTAAAGCATGTAGAAGATTGAATAAATTAAGTGTTCTGCTTTAAAGACAGAGAGTTGAGGGTGGAAAGTGCTGAGAAATCATTCGTTCGGTCATGTTCTTCCAAGTAAATGGCTTCTTGGATTTAAATTAGATCAATGTTTTCCAAGATATATGTTAGTTTCAGGGTTGTTTTTTATCGTTTGTTTGTTTAAAGTAAACTGTCCTGTAGTTAGTCCTGAAAACTGTGTATTAATCAAAGTTTTGTACCTTCTGAGGTTGTTACAGTATTGGGAAAAGTAATGATCTTAGAGTGTAGACAATTACATTACCAAGTAGCATGCTCAAGAGGAGGATAAACATAAGGGACCCCAAAAAAGTTTGTGGAAAATGCATATTATGAAAAAACTGCATGAATTTCAATTTTTTTGCAGCAAAATGAACTTATACTTAAATTCCATATTTCCACAAATGCTTTGAAGCTTCATCATATGCTGTGCATTTGGCTATTGAAACCAAATTGCAAGTTTAAGACTATTTCAATTTCTGGCTCTCTCTCTCTCTCTCTCTGTCTCTCTCTCTCTATATATATATACACACACACACACACACACACATTTTTTTTTTTTTTTTAATTTGCCAGAGAGTGGATATATTCTGGGGTGCAGGAAGTGGAAAGCAAGAGAGACAGAAAGAGAAAGCCATAGTGGGGAATAGTCATGCTACACTTACTTCTCTCCTTCCTTTCAGGATTTTGAGCATGCATGCACACGTACCTGGCATGTTTCTCAAGCTGCCAAGTCTGGGACTCTTATCGCATGGTTGTTCGTGTAGGATCCAGCCAAATTAGCCACCATGCCACTAGCTGGCACATAATAATTTTTAAATCAGATTAGTAAGTGTAAGGAAAAAAAAACTGACCCGAAAGTTTAATTAATAATAATGTTTCTTTCTTAAAGGTGTGAATACCAGTGATGAATTATTTGAGAGGTAAATATCTTAAGAGCTAATTCATGATTTTATTTAAGATTAGATGTAAATATGTATCTTGGAATTTCTGTAGTTCTTATGAATGTAAACTTTCACACTATACATCTTTTCATGGTTTAAGAGAAAATAAGTTTTTGTTGGTAATGGAGTGTTTTAAGAAACAGAAGATCTTTTTAGCACAGGTAATTATAATAGTATAGACCACATTTTCTGCATTTTCTTTTGCTAAATAAGAATTAAATTTTGGTAGGCAGGACCTGTAGAGCTTTCTCCTGGGCATTGCAGTTGCGTTGTTTCAAGCACTTAGAAAGTCATCAGTCAATTAGAACCAATGGGTGGTGTAATGGTTATGTCTCTGCACTCCCATGTAGTTGACTGCAGTTCGAGTCCCAGACTTACCAGCTTAAAACACACTGAGTACGTGTGTGTGCATGCCCAAAATCTAAGAGGAGAATGGAGAAGGGATTGTAGCCATGGTCATCCTCTGGGGGGGGGGCGATTTCTTACTTTCATCCTCTCTGTCTCTGTCTCTCCAGTGACAGAGATAAAAATAGCAAAAATCTCTCTAAAAAAAAAAAAAAACTAAGTCTGGGACCAGCAGTTGGCATAATGACTATGTCGCTGGACTCCCATGTAGTTGACTGCAGTTCAAGTCCTGAACCCGGCAGCTTAAACTCATGCCAGGTGCATGTGCGTGCATGCCCAAGATCCCGAGAGGAGAATGGAGAAGGAATTGTGGTGTGGCCATCCTCCTGGGGGATGATTTCTTGCTTTCCGTCTGTCTCTTTCTGGCTAGTGCACGTGCCCTATAGCAAAAAAAACCTCTCCAAAAAAAAAAAAAAAAGTCATCAGTTAATTGATGACTAGGTTTTTCCACTGAGAGAGCTGGAAATTACAGAAATAGAGTAGATAGGTGTTTATCATTTGTGTTCATTTATACTCTTGGAAGGCATAGTTTTATGTGTTTATTTTTGCTTAATGTAATTAAATTGTAATTACTGATTTATATTTCTCAAATTACACTGGCAAAAAAGCGTTTTAGCAGATCCACTCCAGATGACAGGATTGACTGATGTTGCAGACATTATCGATGACCTTATAACGAAAGGTGGAGTTTCTAGTGAAGAACTTGGCTTAACAGAACAACAAGCAAGAAGGATCTCCAGGTAATTATTGAATAGTCCATTTGGAACTGATTTAAAATCTTTACAGTTCAAGAATGTTCAAATTGGCCTTATTTTAATGTGATTTAATGAACAAGTTTTGAAGCTTATAATAGATTTTTCTTCATTAGTACTTCATTTTATTCCTCCCTCTCTTCCAACAGTAGACTGCTTTATTTAATGAACACAGCACATCTGTATCCTGTGAGTTTTCCTGAAGTCTCAACACTCTTAAGTACAATGTACATTTAATCCAGTTTCTTTCTTCTTTAAAAAATTTTTTGTCAGAGGGTGCTTGTGCTTACAGGAGAGATACAAAGAGAGGGAAAGCAAGAAAGCAACCCCCATAGGGCCTGGGCTTACCACAGTCTCTTCTCCTCCATTTTTCCCTCCTTTGGGGATTTTTGGGTGTGAATGCATGTGCATACATGTACATGCCCAATGTGTTTTTCAAACTACTGGGTCTGGGACTCGAACAGTGTGGTCAGACACGTCAGATCCAGCCACCTTAACCACCAGGCCATGGGTTCGCCTAATTTTCCTTCTTTTTTTTTAAATGAGGGGGTGACACAAGGGATGACTAAGGGGAAGAGAATAGAGTTCACATACATGTGAGCAGAAGAAAGGGAGAGAGTGGTATTTTGGGTAGGGTCTCACTGTCATGATCCTCTGCCTCAACCCCCTACTTAGCTAGGGTCACTAGCATGCATCACCACTCCCAGCCCATTTAGGTTGGTCCAAGATCTAACCTGGGCTCCCCATGACCCGAGCCTCACACAGCAGTACCTGCTGCTGTGCCACTATGATGGGCCTAACCCTTACGTCAGCATTTCACTTATGTCAGGAAAGGTTAAGAATTACTACTTAGAAGCAATGATTTAGTTCATGATACTTTAAATATTAACCTTTAGAATACATTTTAAATCACCTTTTCTTAGACCTTTTCTTGGAATATTTTCCTTGCAATTGTTCCTGGGTCAGGAACTGGTTCCTGATAGAATGAAGGCTGGCTGTCCTACTAATGTTTCCCTGAAATATATACACCTTTTAGCTCGCTCACACAAAGCAGTCAGCCTTATAAATAGCATCTATGCTTCATTTTCCAGTCCAGTTCTATATATTACCTCAGTGAAAAAGCACTGTATTTTAAAAATTATTTAATATTATTATTATTATTATTTTAAATCTGACCAGAGAGAGAGAGAGAGAGAGGGAGAGAGAGGGAAACTGAGAAAGCAAGCTGTCAGGTCTGGGACTTGAGTTATGGTCAGCCAGGTGAGAATCCTGTGCCTCAACCTCCATGCTACCTCTCAGCCCCCAAAATGCAGTGTGTTATAATAACACTTAAAAGGCAGTTACAGAAAACTGTGTAACAAAAATAGGAAAATACAATTTCTATTTAATCAGTGGAATTTGTCTGTTATATTATGACCTCGTATTAAGGCCATGTAACTTCCTAAACTAACACCTTTAGCTACTGTGAATTGTTTCTTTTTTCTTTTTTTTTTTTAAGTTAATGATCATGTCGTGACTATTTTATCAGTAGTCTATTAAATGTCTAGATTTAGGATAAAAATAAAATGCAGTTTCTACTCTTGAATAGAGATAGAGCTCTGAGACCAAGTTATTTCAGTGTACTAGGAGAGCTCAGGGGAAGAAAGTCGAAGAAGACAACTTCCCCAATTGTGGGGTTTGAGCTGTGTCTCAAAGGTCAATAGACATTCACGTGGCTGGTAACTGGGAGAAAGAGTACTCTAGGCAGAGGAAACAGAGCACGCCAAGGTGCGATGGATAGTGAGGGACAAGGAGTTAGATGTGACTAGAGCTTGCGCACTCTAAGGAGAGTGTGGGACTAGCTGGGTGTGGGCACCAGAGCCACTGTCCCAGCTCATCTGTTCTAACAGCAGGTAGAGGAGGTCAGTAACAGATTTTAAACTAGAAGTGGGAGCCAGCTAGGAGGTGCACTTGATTAATCTAGACATGAGGTAGATCCAAATATTTGGGGCTGTTGGGAGGTGAGAATGTGAGCATTTCTCCTTGGATGAGTGGCATGATGATGAGTCTTTGGCAAGTAAACAATGTAGTTTCAGAATAAGGTGCTAGGAGACCATTTAGTTAGTAATATTAATTGGAACAGTAGTTTTAGGTCCTTTCAGAAGCAAATTCCAGGATAGGATTTAGGTGAGTTAGAAATTTTTTGCTGAGACAACTGTGAAGGAAGAAGGGGAAGGAGCCATATAAGGTAGGGACAGCTGTCAGACTACAAGATTTATGTGGCTTTGTCCCTGTGCTGGGGGGTTCCAAGATCACCTCTAGTCCAGTGTTTAACCAGAAGGGCTCATAGAATTGAGCAGTCATGTTCATTGCTGTCATTTATTACGGCAAAAGGACTCAAAGCAAAATCAGCCGAGGGAAAAGGTACATGGGGTAATTTCCAGGGGGGACCAGGCATAGGCTTCCAGGAATTCCCTCCTAGTTGAGTCACACAGAATGCACTCAGTTCTTCAGCTACAAGTTGGGAAGTTTTGACTACTGGGCAGGCTCATTATTCAGAGCCTGCGTGGTATATACCAAGGCTCCCAGGAGGAAAATGGATGTTGAGAGTAAACCATGTTTGTTTGCTTCCACGACTCATCTTCCATTTCAGGTGGTATCATTTTTATGCATCTGCCCCGAGTCCTAATCTCTTGCCTACTTACTTGGACCACTTCTTGTACTCTTGTGTTAGTCCGGACCTTCCAAGAAGCAGAAGCCAAGTTGAGATTAGGTGTATGAGAGATTTATTGGAGAAAGGCCTTGAGAGGAATAGGGGGAAAACATGGAAGAAGTGGAGAGAGGCCTCAGACCACAACACAGGTCTGAACCCTCTCTGTAAGGAAGAGAGGGAAAGGAGGTTTGGACTGAGTCTATAAGAGTGCAGCGTGGTTCTAAGACATTTCCTCCAAGTCAGTGGTAAGACCTCATGCCACAGTCACCCAGGGCGGTATCTGTGTCTGGCAAAAATGGGCTAGCCCCAGTTTTCCTGCCACACCTAGTCAAGTTGGGCCAGACCTTGGCAAGTGTGGCTTAGGTCTAATCCTGAGGACAGCAGTTAGGTAATCGACTTCGTATTATAAGTTCTGATTGAGGTAGTCCTCAGGCTAGGTTATAGATAAAGAAATCCAAAACAGAACCTTTAATATTGAAGTCATGAGCAGAGAAAAAAAGAATCAGTGGAGGAGGCTGCATAGGTAGGAAAAGGGGTTAGGAAAAGACCTAGGTGAGAAGGAAAAGGGTTTAAAGCAAAAAGTTGTTGGTGACCTTTCTGAGAACATTTCCAGTAGATTCCAGGAAACCAATTGGAGCAAGTGACCAGAGATCCTAAATGTCTCCTATTTTTCAAGATGAGACAGTGTTTTCCAGTAAATAGTAGTTGCCATACTTCTAATCTACATAACAAATTTACAAAGGAAATGATTCTTTGCTTGTTAAACTTTCCAGGGTTCAGCATTCTTATAGCAGACGTCCACAAAGAACTGAGAAGGAGAAGAGAGAGATTAGAGTCTGGATGAAAAAGAAGCGAAAAGAAAGGATGGCGGAGTACTTAAATCAGCTGGCAGAGAAGAGAGGGCAAGAACGTGATCCTTTCTGCCACAGAAGCAATCCAGTAAGTCTGGAATTATCACAGGACATGGCAAATATTCAAAAAGAGGTTTAACATAATTTGGATGCATCTCTTATTTGGCATATAGACAAGTCAATGTTTCACATAAGTCAGTAAAAGTTAAGTTGCCTTAACAAAATATAGCAGATATTGTGCAAACCATTTTCTATTGACTCTCTTAAATATTTTTTCCCTCCCTCAGGCTAACCTTTTAACCAAATGAGGAGGTTGAGTGATGGTGTGACCAGCTGGAGTCATTCCTTTAATTTTCAGTGAGAGTCAGTGGCAGTTTAAAACCTGTGTGTGTATTAAGGCTACTTAAAAACTCATTTTTTATATCTATAAAGAACACATTCATAAAAAAATGGTCCAATCATGTACCAACAAAACAGTGGCACTTCTTTGTGTGTGTACGCGTGTGTGTTTATGCATGGTTTTTATTCCTTCATAATTACTTTTTAAACTGACAGTGCTGAATATGGACATCACCATGGATAGGTTTTTTTCAAAAGGTAAATCAAAACAGTGTTATTTTAATAATCACACTTAGGGACCAGCAGTTGTCATAATGGCTATGTCACTGGAATCCCATGTAGTTGACCGCAGTTCGCGTCCCGGACCCGGTGGTTTAAACTCACACCAGGCACATATGCGTGCGTGCCCAAGATCTCAAGAGGAGAATGGAGGAGAAGCGATTTTGGTGTGGCCATCCCCCCTGGGGGGTTATTTCTCACTTTCTGTCTCTCTGTCTCTGTCTGTCTCTGTCTGGCGAGTGCATGCTCCCTACAGCAAAAAAAAGCTCCCCCCCCCAAAAAAAAAAAACAAACCACCACACTTAAAAAGGCATGTACACCTACTGGAGAGAGAGACAGACAGACAGACATGGAAAGTGAGAAAGCACTCCCCACATTGCAATCCCTTCTTCATTCTTTTGGGATTTTGGGCACACACGCATACGTACCTGGCATGTTTCTCAAACTGCTGGGTTCAAGACTTGAACTGTGCCATCGGCCATGTTGGATCCAGCCGAATAATGACCATGCCACTTGGCTGGCTCAATAATCATATTGTTATGAAAATTACATTTAGATTCCAATAAGATCACAGTTTATCATTTGCTTTGAAATCAGAAGTAAAATGTAACAGCACTTCATTTTTTTTCAGTCTCATTAAGAGAACAAATTCTATCATTGAATTTTACAGATAAGGCTGTCCCATTTAAATGCCAAGTGATGGAGAAGTAGGTGAATTATAGTTAAAAGTGTATAGTTTATTTACCTGTCTTTGGAGAGAGCACACTGGTGTTAACATTTTCTTGGTAGTTTTGGGGACGTGGAAGTAACGTTCAGAGACACTGAGCTATGTGACCAGAATCTTAAAGTCCATGTGTGTGTTCCCCTTCCCATGAGCGATGGGTTCCAGCATCACTTTCCCTGTCAGCCAAGTAAATACTCAAGATGGTTAGAACTGTGTCTAAGTTTAGAATAAATGGACTCTGAGGGAATAGGAATATTTGTCTCACAGACTTCGTGACCTCATTCAAGATCACAAACACCCGTTTCTTTACTTCTAGCTTCTATTTGGGAAAAAGTATGGGATTAGTGAGGGGTTAAGGTAACTAAAAAATTGTATTTGAGTTTTTATCAGAAATCAGTAAGACTTAATTTGTTATTACTTCTTTATAAACCTTGCAAAAGTGAACTTATGTCTGGGCAACTTGTGTTTTTATATACATAATTATAATATATAAAAAAAACTTCACCTCACATGTGCCTCACAGCAATGCCCCCCCTTTTTTGCCAGAGGGCATGTGTGTTCTCCAGAGAGACCAGAGAGGGAGAGGGAGAATGTACCCTCTGTAGTCATGCCACAGTCTTTTTTCTTCCGTTTTCTATCCTCATTACATCAGGGGTTTGGGTGATAAGGCAGGCACACCTGCCTGGTGTATTTTTTTTCCAATCTTTTTAATGACTGAAACATAATACATCTAAAACCGCAGCTTTTGGAAGAACCACTTGTTCTTGCCTATCTTGTACCTCTGTTCAAACTTGACCTTTGCCTTCCGCCGGGCCTTGCCTTTAAGAGCAGGGTTTCTGAAGACATCCTTGTTGACTACAGTTTTGTCCAAGGGAATATCCACAAAAGACTCGATCTTTGGGAACCAGCAGTTAACGTAATGGCTATGTCGCTGGACTCCCACGTAATCGACTGCGGTTCGTGTCCCAGACCCGGTGGCTTAGAACTCATGCCGGGCGCATGTGCGTGCGTGCCCAAGATCCCGAGAGGAGAATGGAGGAGAAGGGATTGTGGTGTGACCATCCCCCCTGGGGGGTGATTTCTCACTTTCTGTCTCTCTGTCTCTCTCTGTCTGTCTGGCGAGTGCACACGCCCTATATAGCAAAAAAAACTTCTTAAAAAAAAAAAAAAGACTCAATCTTTGACCTCTTGGCGATTTTCTTCTTGGCCATGGCAGCTGTCACTTTGCAGGGATAGTAGTCAATTCCAGCCACAAAAGCATGGCTGTAGGGGCGATTTGAGTGCCATCATCAACGTTCTTCACCATGACGGCTTTGTGTCTGGAGTAGCGTCCGGCCAGCACCAGCACCACGTTCCCGGGTTTCATGACCTTGCCCATTTCAACAGCAGCTACCAGGGCCTATGGAAAGGATGCCTGGTGTATTTTTCAAGCTGCCAGGGCCATGTGGAAATCAGCTCCCTTAACTATTAGGCCAAGGGGCCAGCCCCTCGATAGTCCCCCCACCCCACCCCGAGGGCATGTGGTTCTCGCTGGAGGGAGAGAAATAAGGAAAGCATCCCCTCATGGGGGATAGTCATGCCATAATCCTTTCTCCACCATTTCCTTCTGTCAGGACTTAGGGCACACATTACACGCTCCAAGCTTGTTTCTCAAGGTGCCAGGTCCAGGACATGAATCATGCATTTAGCCATTTAGCCATATCCAGCCACCCTAACCAGCACACCACTGGGTGGTCCCAGTAGGGTTTTTTTTTTTTTTTTTTTTTTTTTCCAAGAGAGATTTTTGCTATAGGGCATGTGGACACGTTAGAGAGACAGAGGCAGAAAGTGAGAAATAACTCCCCCCTCCCCCCGCCCAGGCAGAATGGCCACGTTGCAATCTCTTCTCCTCCATTCTCCTCTCAGGATTTTAGGCATGCACACATATGCACCCGGAGTGAGTTTTAAGCCACCAGGTCCAGGATTCAAACCATGATTGACTATGTGGGAATCCAGTGATGTAACCATTACACCATCTGCTGGTCCTGGCCCCAGTAATTCTTAAGGTCTTGGAATAAAAAGTGTATATATGGCATTTGTCAGGTTGTCTTGTGGTGCATAAATTTTGAATAATTTACAGTCACAGTGAACTTATGAATAGTGAGTTTCTGGTACTTTTTTTTAAAGAGTGCTCATGTATACACATGCAAGAGAGAGTAGCACCCTAAACAGTCTTGTCATACCATGATCTCTGTTCCACAGCCCCCTAGGTTCTTAGGGTTGTGGGTACTTGCATATGCCCCTGGTGTGATTTTAGGCCAACCCAGGGATTCAGACCTGAGGTTACCATGTGGCTTCCAGGCTTGCAGGGCAATTGTGTTACTGCTGTGCCACAGTGGTTCAACCTGATAAATATTTTAAAACATCAAAATGATGATTTTTTTAAATGTCTGACTCATTTCTGCTTTATCAACCAAGCTCTTGGTGAGATTAAACAAGAGACTGCATACAAAGTATAGGTGTCTCCATTGTTGAAATTTTCCCGTTTTCCTTTGTTCTCTCCTTTTAAGAAAACACATGAATTTTGCATTCCATTTATTAAATTACATTTTACTTTATTTTTTAAAGAATCATTTATTTAATTTTATTTGTCATTATTATTTTTAAATTTGTTACAGGGTGTGTGTGCTCTCCAGAGTCAGAGATGGAGAGAGGAAAAGTGAGAAAGCAAGTTACCGGGTCCGGGACTCAAACCACGGTCGGCTATGTGGGAGTCCAGTGCCCCAACCACCATGCAATCTGCTGGCCTCAGTCTTCCCAAGGCTTTACTTTAAATACATGATTTCTTAGTTTAATATTTTCATGTTCTGTGCTAGTATAGAAGCAGATATGACAGTGTTTTGTACTGTTTCCTAAATAGCAGAATTATGTCTAATAGTTTAATTATTTGGACCAAAAAATAATGAACTAACTGGATAATTCCTGTGCAGTTTTACATGACTTCAAGGGAAATCAGGCTGAGTCAAAAGATGAAGCATGAAAAAGATAGGTAAGTTGGCAACTTTTTCCTGGGCTCTCTCTCGTAGATTCCTCATTGTAGGCATGGATAATGCCTCAGGAATTTTATTTTTTATAAGTCTTTTTTGTCAATAAACAGAAAATTATGGGAAATATTACTGCAAGGAAAATAATTAGGCTCACTAGCTTTTTTAGGAATTTGCTTTCAAATATTTATTCTGTCCCATTTTTTATGGCTTTTACTTGTGCTGTTCTCCTCCCTTTTCCAGTTAAGATATGTACATGCATTTGGGAAATGCCCCAGAGGTCATAACTATAAGTACCTTTAATAATACTGCCTAGTGATTTTCAGAAATTTGATGAAGAGGATTTGAAAAGCATTGAAAAAAGCAAATCCTAGGTGATCTTCAGACACTTTGTTTCTTCTAGAATTGTGAACTAAAAGTAAATGATATTTAATTCTTTATCTAAAGATTACTGCTGTCTGACCACTATAGTCGTCGAATCTCACAAGCATACAGTCTGATGAATGAATTGTTATCTGAATCAGTACAACTGCCAGCAACTGCACAGAAACCATTGCCTAACAAACGCAGCACTGCTCAGTCTTCCAGATGGCAACACTATCCCAGAGGGTAAGACCAGTTTTAGCATGTCACTTGGCAAGATAATATCAAGCCTTATCAGAAGCATTGTTGCACTTATTACCCAAGTTTATTATACTTGCATCTACCCTGAGAAAGTGAAGGGACAAAAAAGTAGCCCCATAATTATGAGACCTGTAAGTTTATAGAACTAACAAAGAAAAGGGCAAAAATGGTGTTAAATTTCTAAGCTATAACTAAGCACTTCAGTATACCTGAAGTATGAAAATTTTTTATAAGTCTGCACATCCTTTGCTATGTTTGTTCATTTTTAAATGTATTTTGTAGAGGTTCTTGCCTTAGGGCACGTGTGGTTGCCAGAGAGAGAGAGAGAGAGAGAGAGAGAGAGAGAATGAGAGGTAAAGTGAGAAACACTCCCCTCCCATTGGGGATGGCCATGCCACACTCCCTCCTCCTCCATTCTCCTCCCAGGATCTTGTGCACACATGTGCATGCACACACACCCAGCATGAGTTTCAAACAACTAAGACCAGGACTCTTAACTGTGGTCTGCCATGTGAGAGTTCAGTGACGTAACTGCTACATATCATTTCTCTTTTTGAAGATTAGACCAGAGAGAGACAGAGAGATAGGAAAGTGAGAAAGCAAGTCTCCAGGTCCAGGACTCAAACTGCGGTCAGCCGTGTGGGAATCCAGCACCTTGCCCACTATGCCACCTGCTGGCCCCAGTATGAAACTTGATATAGATTGTGTTTTCTTTAGTTTTGGGGTTTGTTTCTGTAATTTGCCGTGTAACTGCTCTCCGTTTCCCCACTTACTGTCTTCCCTCTTGAAGAAACAGACAGTGCCTACCAGCTAACCATTTCTCCAGCTACCCTTCCCACCCTGCCTAGTTGTGCTCATTCAGTAATATGTGTAACATATTATTATGTCTTTCACCTGAAATTAATCACATGAAGTGGGGCTGGGTACAAGACCATTAGGCAGGAATCAATTAACATAAAGTATTAAAGAAAAAGTACCCAAGTATAAAATGTCTTATTTATGACAAATATGCAAAATTGTATCTATCGGTGATCTGTAAGGTGAACATTATTGCCAGTACAATGTTGTTGGAAATTACCCTTTCAGGGGCTAGCAGGTAGCATGGTGGTTAAGGGCACTGGACTCCCACATGGCTGACCACAGCTTGAGTCCCAGACCTTGTGGCTTCCTTTCTTACTTTCCCTCTCTCTCACTCTGATCAAATTAAAATAGTAAATAAATAAAGGTAAATAAAAATAATTCTTTAAAAATTTTGTTTAAAAAAATTACCCCTTGACAAAATAAATGATTAGAATTATAGTCACATAATCTGAGAGCCTAGAGGAAATGCTACCAATCTAAATCCAGACATGGGCTGCTTCTGTGGCATAGTGGTAATCAATGGGATGCTTAAGAGAAACTGGACCGCACTTGGCAAGTGCGATTCAAATCCCTAGCCTGATCAGCCTGAACACTCTAGACACATGTAAGACTGCCCAGGATCCTGCAGGCTGTAGGACTGGAGGTGGGCAGTTGTGGCATGATCCAGAGGCTGTGATGGGTACTTATTTCTCTCATTCTCACATGCACGTGCTCTATCATGAGTAAAGAAAAAAATAATTCAGACATACTCAGACATTTGTGTATATAGTTTGGAGTTTACACAAAATACTTCTGATTCCCCTTGAGTCTTTTCTAGAAGAAGGCCCAAGATTAAATATATAAATAACTGTCAAATGTTGGGTTGTCAGGAAACTCATGACACTTTTTTTTTTTTTTGAAGAGGTTTTTGCTATAGGGTACGTGTGCTCGCCAGACAGATAGAAAGCAAGAAATCACCCCCCAGGGGGAATGGTCACACCACAATCCCTTCTCCTCCGTTCTCCTCTCGGGATCTTGGGCACGCACGCACATGCGCCTGGCATGAGTTTTAAGCCACCGGGTCTGGGACGCGAACCGTGGTTGACTACGTGGGAGTCCAGCAACATAGCCATTATGCTAACTGCTGGTCCTGACACATTTTTGCGTAGAAAAATAATGTCATGACTTTCCCAGCAACCTAATATATGGAGAATTTGAAATGGGTAGAGATAAGCAAAAACAATTACTTTGATAAAAAAATGGAATGAGGTTTAAGGTATAAGATATAAAGAATAGTTTGTTAAGGGTATACACATTAAGTGTATTAGTGAGGTATAGAATAAGCCATGCCAAGTAAATATATTAATCTGTGCTATAATTTGAGTTTTTTTAAATATTAGTTTTCACTGATAAGAGATTCTAAGAATATAACTATGTAATTTCTCATTTAGAGAGAATCAACATGATCATAATTTTCCAATAAATCGACCTGGAAAAGTCAGATCTCTCTCCAAACCAAGTTATTCCCAAAAGGGGAGACCTTTTGGGCAACCTCAAAGTTCACCTTGGCCATGTGGTAAGATTTAAAGCTTTTTTTTCCTCTTTAACTTATCAGCAGGCACATGCGCTGGCCAGAGAGGGAGAAAGTGCCTACCAATGGAGCTGCAATGCCTTCTACTCTGTTTCTCTATCCTGTTCAGATTTGGGGCATGCATACTCTCCCAGTGTGTTTTTGAAGCTGTTGGGCCAGGACCCTAACTACATAGCTAGCTGTGTAGGATACGGCTTCCTTAACCACTGGGTCGTAGAACTGGCCCTAAAGCTTTTTTTATCTTGCGTGATTTGAACTTATTTCTTCTTGTATCCAAAGTTGTGTTTTCATTAGTGAAATCTGTAAGTCTGTAAAAAAGGAATTCTAATTTGAATAGGGATTGTTAAAGAGTTAGTTGTACTGGGATGTTATTCTGTTTAGAAATAAGAAGACCCTAGGAGACTTTTAAAAGTAATGCCTTTTGGTAATAGAAACTAGTAGTCAGTGAATTATATAAAATTTATTTACTGAATACATGGTAATGCCCCTCTTGAAATAATGCAATAAGTTTTACATTGCAGTTGCTTGTTAACTTCTCATGCCTCCTTCTAGACTAAATTCTTTGGGCATTGTAAACACTCTCTTTTTTATCTTTATGTTATCCTTCCCATTGAACAAATGAATATTTGAATAATTGGATAAACAAAAAAAATGACTTTTTAACTTTTTTGCCTAAAAATAACTATGCATAACAAATGATTGTTCAAGAATACTAATAAGTGGTGGGGGCAGTAGGTGGTGCTGCAGTTAAAGCTGGACTCCCACATGGCCAACCACAGTTGGAGTCCCAGGCCTGGTGATTTGCTTTGTCATTCCTCCTGCCCCTGAAAACTTAAAAAAAAAAAAAAAAAAAAGATAAATAAAATTAAGTAATTTTTAAAAATAATACTAGTAGGTGGGTATTAAAGAATTTATACCATGCCAGAAGAAAAAAATATATGCGTATTATCCTAGCTTTCGCAGAACTTGAAGTCAAAGATAATAGAGGCACTGCAAATTCTGATTTCTCTGACAGCCTTGACTGATAGTGCAAGCTCTGACTCCTCTTGTTCTTGTGACCATACTCAGAGTCTAACCCTCCTCCCAGATATTGGTGACTGCAGGTCCCCAGTATTGTGGTAGAATGGAGGAAAAGTCAGGCATGACTGAGCCCAGGGCTTTTCCTAGCCATCCCAAGCTTATGTGGGACAAGTTTGGTCATTTTACGTGTGATAGTGAGGCTCCGTCAGGATTTTTAAATCCATTGCTGTTGGGGACCAGCATTTGGCGTAATGGCTATGTCACTCGACTTCCATGTAGTCGACCACAGTTTGAGTCCTGGACCCGGTGGCTTAAACTCACGCAGGGCGCGTGAGTGCGTGCCCAAGATCCTGAGAGGAGAATGGAGGTTAAGGTATTGTGGCGTGGCCATCCCCCCGGGGAGTGATTTCTCACTGTCTGTCTCTCTGTCTCTGTATTTCTGGCGAGTGCACGTCCCCTATAGCAAAAACCTCTCAAAAAAAAAAAAAATCCATTGCTGTTGATTTGTGAAAAATTTTTTTCTAGATAGTTATGAGTTCATATTATATCTATCTTTTTAAAAATTATTTATTTTATTTATTTTTATTATTTTTAAATTTGAACAGAGGAAAGAGAGGGAAAGTGAGGAAGCAGACTGCCAAGTCCAGGACTTGAACCATGGTCCACCATGTGGGAGTCCAGTGCCTTAACTACCATGCCACCTGCTGGCCCTACATCTATATTTTAAAATAGCATATAGTTTCTGGCTAATTTCTTCTTCCTTGCTTTGTAAACTTCCAGGAGTCCCATTTTTGTGTTTGCCATTTTTGTTTAGTTTTATCAAAAGCAATATAAAGAGAGCTCTCCAGCAGAGCCCAGTTCCATCTCCAGTTCCCTGGCCTATAAGGGACACTGAGGCAGGGCCAGTCACTGGCCCTGGCCTCAGCTCTAGCCCAGCTCCTCCAACACCAGAGCCCCCTATGTCAAGAAGGACAGCCCCCAGCTCTCCAGCAGAGCCAGTTCTATCTCTAGTCCCTTGGGGAAATTGCATGCCGTGCTGGTACGTGGTGTACGTCTTTTTGTTTATTCTCTTTCATACTTTTTTACTTCCATCTTAGAGTGTCATCTCCTCATCCTCCACACACCCAGAGGGACTAGACAGGTCTAGAATTACAGTTTTCAAATACCCTAGTATTGTGAAGCTCCCTGAGATCCTCCCTTTTACTGAACCACTTGCGAGAAAGAAACTGCTCTTCAGAAGACTCCTCCTGTGGAGACTACATTGCTAAGTACAGGAGAAGAGAGATTTCGGCACACGTCAGTTCACAACAAAAGGAAAGTACATTCGTTCCCAGTTGAAGGAACATTCTCCGAAAAGATATCCAAAAGTGAATATATCTCCCAGTGGCTAGAAGTAGAAGAAGAACCTCAGGTCTGAATAAACCAGGAAATATGTCTCCATCAAAAGAACACAATAACTCCCCTCCATCTCTTGAAAAAACAGAAAAACTTACTGAAATGTCAGAGAAAGAACTTAGAACACGCATGGTGACAAAACTCTATGAGTTGGAACAGAAAAGAGACAACAAACTACACAAGATTAGGAAGTCCTTCCACGATATAAAAGAAGAAATGGACACTATAAGAATCAGATTGAACTATTAGAGAAGAAGTCTGTAATACAGGAAATCAAAAACTCTCTTGAAAGTATTAAAAGTCGATTAGACCATGCTGAAGATCGAATCTCTGACGTAGAAGATAAAACCTCTGGCCTAGGAAAAAACATCAAAAAGATAGAGAAAATACCAAAAAAACACGATAATATACGAGAAATACTGGATTCCATTAAACGTCCAAATATCCGAGTAATTGGTATCCCAGAAGGTGAACAAACTAATAAGGGCATGGAAAAATCTATTCCATGAACTCCTGGAAGAAAACTTCCCAAGTCTAGAGAAGCACTCACACATGCAGACTCAAGAAATACAAAGGATCCTAAATAGACAGGAAATATGTCTCCATCAAAAGAACACAATAACTCCCCTCCATCTCTTGAAAAAACAGAAAAACTTACTGAAATGTCAGAGAAAGAACTTAGAACACGCATGGTGACAAAACTCTATGAGTTGGAACAGAAAAGAGACAACAAACTACACAAGATTAGGAAGTCCTTCCACGATATAAAAGAAGAAATGGACACTATAAGAATCAGATTGAACTATTAGAGAAGAAGTCTGTAATACAGGAAATCAAAAACTCTCTTGAAAGTATTAAAAGTCGATTAGACCATGCTGAAGATCGAATCTCTGACGTAGAAGATAAAACCTCTGGCCTAGGAAAAAACATCAAAAAGATAGAGAAAATACCAAAAAAACACGATAATATACGAGAAATACTGGATTCCATTAAACGTCCAAATATCCGAGTAATTGGTATCCCAGAAGGTGAACAAACTAATAAGGGCATGGAAAAATCTATTCCATGAACTCCTGGAAGAAAACTTCCCAAGTCTAGAGAAGCACTCACACATGCAGACTCAAGAAATACAAAGGATCCTAAATAGAATCAACCCAAGAAGATCTTCCCCAAGGCACATCTTTTTTTTTTTTTTTTGGAGAGGTTTTTGTTACAGGGCATTACACCAACTGCTAGTTCCCCACAAGGTACATCTTAAAGACAAGATACTAAAACTGGCAAGAGAGAAAAGACAAGTGACTTACAAAGGTCATCCCATCAGGCTTACACCGGGCCTTTCAATGGAAACAATGCAAGCAAGAAAAGAATGGGAAAACATATTGAAAGTGTTAACAGAGAAACAATTTCAACCAAGATTATTATATCCAGCAAGATTATCCTTCATATGGGAAAAAAGATTAAAATCTTCTCAAACAAAACCTGAAAAAATTTGTCAACACCAGATCAGTTTGTCAAGAGACTCTGAAGAGAGTCCCTTTCCATGAAAACTAAAGAATGAACAGCCAAAAATAAGAAAATAAAAGAAAACCAAGACAATGGCCAACTTAAAGGCAGGGACAAATCTGGAAATATTGATAATAACATTGAATGTTAATGGATTAAATTCTCTAAATCAAGAGACACAGACTGGCTGAATGGATAAGAAAACAGAAACGCTATCTGTTGTCTACAAGAAACGCATCTCATGGATAAAGACAAACATAGAGTAAAAGTGAAGGACTGGAAAAAAGTATTCGATGCAAATGGGAATAAAAAAAGTTGTGATTCTAATTTCTGACAAAATAGCCTTTAAAACAAAAACTATTCAAAGAGACAAAGAAGGGCACTATATTGTAGTAGAAGGTTTAATCCATCAAGAAGGTATAATTCTGGGACCAGCAGTTAGCATAATGGCTATGTCACTGAACTCCCATGTAGTCAACTGCAGTTCAAGTCCTGGACCCAGTGGCTTAAACTCAATCTGAGCGCGTGTGCATGCGTGCCCAAGATCCTGAGAGGAGAATGGAGGAGAAGGGATTGTGGTGTAGCCATTCCCCCAGGGGGTGATTTCTCGCTTTCTGTCTCTGGTGAGCGTACGCGCCCTATAGCAAAAACCTCTCAAAAAAAAAAAAAAAAAAAAAGAGAGGGAAAAATGTTTATAAATATTTATGCACA